ACTTCAGTCTTGAGCTCTGTAAGTCTTTCCATCAGCCGATGCAGAATAGGGACGGCTGGCGATTCCGTTGGAGTGTAAAATAGAAGGCCACCAACCGTCTGAATGAGTTTGTCCAATAAGTCGGATCTCAATTCTGACAGGGGATGGTTAATGGCCTCAGTGAATATGGTTCGGGCCTCCGCCGGAACCGGAACAGTCGATAGGACAGCTAAGTCTGAAGGCCCCTGCAAGTCCTACAATGTCAATAAGTATTCCAAGAGAGGTGCAAATTTATTCTTATAAGATATGTGTTACCTCTGGGCGGACTGCTGTCAGTGAGGGGGGCAGCAATGAGGTCGGTCGAGTAGGGCGGACAGCTGGTATAACAGCAGCCGACTCGTCGGCTGCTGCAAATGGTCGCTGAGGTGCCGACCTGGGTCCCTATTGAAAGTAGTATGTAAAATAGTTAGTGTTTTCTGAAAGAGATGTTGTGGCATGGATTGGTTTAATCTTACCAAATTCACAGAAGTCTCCGAATCGGATGAAGACACTTCTTCCATTTCTGGAGGTTGGGCTGCCACAGGTGGTTCTTCTGCCTGCCACTCGATTGCTAGAGGAAGTGCCGCTGCTGGCTGGGCGGCTGCAGGTTGGGCGGCTGCTTCTAGAGCCACTGCAGCCAGAATCTCTGGGGCACCTTCGATTTCGGGATCAGCAACATCAAGGATGTCGTTTTGAGGGTCAGCTTCGGCGAGGGCAGTTGGTCTTTCTTTTGACATGGATGAGTCTGATGCTATGTATGGCGGTCGACCCATCTGGGAAGTAGTTCCCTCGCTGTCAGAAGAGACCCCTGCTGCTGATCCGATGGGTGAAGGTGTCTGTGAAAAAATCATGGAAGTGTTGGTTGTTAAATATATCAGGGTTGATCATTAGAATCCTAAGTATGGCTGATGAGAGAACTTACTGGTTCTCTAGGCACTACTGGTAAAGATTGCCTCCTGGTCGGGTGCCTGGCCCGACCGCTCCTCGGTGCAGGAGGAAGAGTTTGCCTCCTCGTCGGGTCCTCCGCCCGATTGCTCATTGGCAGATTGGTCTGGACCAAAGGCCCGGTTGAATGGTCGGCTGAGGCTGGCGTCGGTTGTGAGGTCGGTGCTGCCAAGGTCGGTTCTGGTGAATAATATGTGAAATTAAAGTTAAGATATAGTGAATTGGTTCACGGTGTTAAGAAACATTACCAATTCGGGGTCGGGCCCTTGCTGACGTCCTATTTGTTCCAAGGTCTGCTAGTGTTTGCTGGTCGGTCCCCGAGGTCGGGGGTGTTGGCAGCTGGGACGCTTTCCTTTTTCGCGTTGGAGCACTAGACCCGATCCCCGGGGCGGCTGTTTGTTGTTGAGTGCTAGCATGTCTAGCCGCCCCTAGAACCAATCCTTGGGGGGGAAGGAGTATGTTCAGCAACCGACCCTCATCAGGGGAGATCAGGGGCCATACAACCGACCACCATTCATTGAATGTTTCTACAGTCTCAGGGTTGGAGCGGAAAGGAATATAAGAATTGGAAGTTATATACGTGGTGAGCTGGGAGATATAAGAACGGATTGAATTCGGTAGGACTCGTCGGTCAGGGCTTTGAAAAATTATATGTGGACACGCGACGGGTCCAGGGATACCTTGGCAACAGCCGAACTGGCGCGCCACGAATTGAGGTTCATAATTAAAAGTGTAAAAGGTTTTCTGCCCCTTTTTATCAAGTTTTTTGCTACTAAAAAGAGACATGGGTTTGAGGGCAACGTCCCAGGCAAAAGGATAAGTGGAATGAGGACAAGGCTCAGGAGTCGGAAGCGGATTTGGTACTGGAAAAGGCCAAAAATGGTCGGGAGCATAGCCCGCATACTTTTTATACATAGAAAATCGAGAGTTATTGCGGGTATCTGTTAAAACTGCGATTATTATTGGATCGGAAGATTGGAGTTTATTGCGTCCTGAGCAGAGTCGGTTAAGGGCTAATCCCAAATGTTTTTCAGTTGTTGGCATAGTGGGCGGAGATCCTAAGTTAAACGCGTTGGGGAAGTAAAGACGGAACCAAAGTTCTAAAAACTAAAAAGGACCCGATGCGGCAGTGTCTAATTTTCTACTATCATTATCTGTCAGACGAAGGCTAACCCTAGTAAGTCCTTCAAACAGATTGGCTAAAAACAGGGTGCCAAGGGAAAAGAATCGACCTGACGCGATATGAATGGCCAGGTCGAGATGAGAAGGAAGAACACATTTGGAAGGGGAAACAATGACGTACCTACAAAGCCAAAAAAGGATAAAGGCTGTATGCTCCCGGTCGGTCACAGGGGTCCCTGGAGCCCCTTGCTGGTCGGTTGCGAACTTTGTCCAACCCCATTCCTTCACACCTTGTAAAGACCACCCTGGATGGTCTTCTGATGGCTCCTGCCCATCTAGGGCTCCCATTACAGGGTCTTCACCCACGACTGGGAGATGCGCGATCATTGCCACGTCCATAAGAGTTGGACCAAAGGGGCCAGATGGTAGGAGGAAAGTCCCATTTTCCGCATTCCAGAAGGCAGACATGGCCAACAGCACCTTCTCATGCAGGTTGATAGGCATGGTGGACAGTAGTATGGCTTGGTCGATTTTTTGAGATCGCCATTGGGCCTGGAAGTGTTCTGCTACCCGTCGATACCAAGCGCGGTAAGGATCTTTTGGGTCTGTGAGATGGGTTTTGATGCTGTCTCGAATGCGAATTGCTTGGTAGTTAGGATTGTTGATAGCCAAGGAATTTCGGGATTCCAAAACTTCCCTCATCCGATTTGAGTCTTCAGGAGTAGTGCAGTATGGACGGATCGTCGGAGTTAGTACTTTCGAGGCTGAAAATGGGCCCTCCGGGAGGGTTCCGTCGAAAGGAAGGGCAGGAATGTATTGATTCGCCATAGTTAGAGTGTTTTGGGATTGTGATTCAAGGCTTGTATTGCGGAGAAAGAAGTTAACCAGGAGTATTGCAGTAACTGGTGCAGTTGCTAAGGGAATGTTTCAAGAAGGTAGTGATTTATGAACTTCCAAACATTGATTGTTAAATGGCGTTTGAAAGTCCCTTGGCGGCGGGCAAGTTGTTACGTACGAAATTTAGAATTAGGTTAAAAGCCCAAGGTAAAAAGAAGAATGGGCCTGGCAATAGGGTTGATTGAACTGGCTGAAGGACACTGTGAGGAAATCAAGGAAAATAGATTTATTTCTAAGGAAAATACAAGACGGAAGGTCCTCAGGTCGGTAGGTCCTCAGGTCGGTAGGTCCTCAAGACGGAAGGTCCTCAAGACGGAAGGTCCTCAAGACGGAAGGTCCTCAAGACGGAAGGTCCTCAGGGCGGAAAGACCTCAGGTCGGAAGGATCTCAGGTCGGTAGGTCCTCAAGACGGAAAGACCTCAAGTCGGAAGGTCTTCAGGTCGGGAGGTCCTCAAGATGAAAAGACCTCAGGTCGGAAGGTCTTCAGGTCGGGAGGTCCTCAAGACGGAAAGACCTCAGGTCGGAAGGTCTTCAGGTCGGGAGGTCCTCAAGACGGAAAGTCATCAGGACGGAAGGTCTTTAGGTCGGTAGGTCCTCAAGACGGAAAGTCATCAGGACGGGAAGTCCGCAGGTCGGGAGGCTTTCAGGTCGGGAAAAGGAAGAAAGTTAAGATCTCAAGAATTGATCCAAATCCAGACCGAAGTCGGGCAGACGCGGAGGTCTTTTAAGAGGAAGGTCGGGCAAGGAAGAGGTACGGACAGATGCGGAGGTCTTCGGTCGAAGACGGAGGGCGGCTGATGCGGAGGTCGGCCCAAGCGAGGTCGGGCGAAGAAGCAGGTCGGGCGAAGGACGAAGTCGGGCCAAAAGAGCGGAAGGTCTGTGGTCGGTTCAAAGAGTGAAATATAAGGATAATTTTGGTCTGCTGAGGACACGTGTCAGCATGAAAGGGGTTGGAAGACGGTTGGGAAGGAGACGTTGTAACCGTTCGGGTGACGGTTTTCAGTACGGTTTCCCAGAGAATATTTAAAGGTTTGAATCATCATTTGGCAAGAGATCTTCAATCAACTTCAACAAAGCAAAGTCAGATTTGGGGATCACCACTTTAAATTTCAGTATTTTATTTTCCAGTTTAGTTTCTGTACGTTACAGTGTTTAGAGATTCCTAATCTCAGGCACTAATTAATCAAGTTTAAGGATATTTTCTATATCTTTGAATTTTACTTTATTTTTGTTGAAAAAATACATCAACACCTATATTACACAAATATCATTACGTTTATATCATACAATACACTGATATGATTAATTTAATTTTTTTACCTTTATTTTTACTTTATCTCAATATAAAACCTATATAAAATAAACACTGAAAACACATGTAATAATACATATCAAAAAACTAAAAATATAATTAAAGAAAGTCATATTTTGAGGATATTAGATTCAACTTGGATATTTACACATAATATATTTGACAAAACTGCTGCCATTCTCACGTAAAAAAAAAAAAAAAAAGAAGAGAAAAGAGAAAAAAGAAGGTCTATTTGAATGAATTGTACTCAAATGGATTCAGTTGCTAGAGTGCTCAGTGAATGTGGTTGGCCATTTTTTATTAGTTACTCCCTTCAACATGTTAGTTGTATTTATTTTGATTTTGGGTAGATTTTGTATTAAATAGTATTGATATTATATTTTATAAAAATAATATATATTTTTAAATACAAAGTCCGAATACTAAAAATTGTGACAAAATTTCTACAAGAAACATACCTTTAAATATTGGAACTGAAAGGTTTAACGAAATATATATACGCATTTGTAGATATATGAGTAAAACATTTTGAATACAATTTACAAACTATTATTTGAAAATATTCGCGTAAAAATAATTTTTTTTTTTTTTTTTTTTAAAAAAGAAATATATGTCAAATTTTTTTTTTTTGTATATGGACGAAACCAATTAGGTCTAACCAAATTTCTTTTGGGTTTAAAAAATTAAGGTCCAACTGGTCAAGAAATTGATATTGGCCCATTATAGGCCCAAGGACCAACTCTGAAGTATAAACCAGAAACCCTAATTACCCCTTCTTTATACTGACTGTCGCAGAAAGCTAGCGTCGACGGCCGTCGAATTCGTTCTTGTACGTGCTCCATCTCCTTTCCGTTCTCTCGAATTCTCGCAGAAAGGGCATTTGTATATGCAAACCAGAATAACTATTCCTTTTTTTTTTTTTTTAATATTGAATTTCTTGGCTAGATTGCAGGAAGGTCACCGGAAAACCTCAAGATGAGTAAAGGCGCGGCTGCGGCGGGTGCCAAGGGTGGGAAGAAGAAGGGTGTGAGTTTCGTGATCGATTGCTCGAAACCAGTGGAGGACAAAATCATGGAGATTGCGTCGCTAGAGAAGTTCTTACAGGAAAGAATAAAGGTTGGTGGCAAGGCCGGAGCTCTAGGAGATTCCGTTACCATCACCCGTGAGAAAAACAAGATAACTGTGACGGCCGACAGCGCATTTTCCAAAAGGTGCGTGATCGAATAAACTTGTGGTTTGTGAATTAGTTTTGCGCTTTTGAGGTTTGTGGATTTTGCATATCTCGTTTCTTTTCCCTATCACCATTACGAAGTAAAAAGCGATAGAATGAATACAGGTTTCTTATGAGATATCTATATCAGAATATTGTCTGTTAGTCTGATGAAAATGATAAAAAAATTCCAAATCAATTGTGAGCAATCCAAATTTGGTATCTTGTTGCACTACCAAATTACTTGTTTTTTCTCCCATCAATTTAAGAGGGTTTAAGGCGTTCTGATGAATTTAAGTTAATCCCATGACATGTGTATTGTTTTTGTAACATTTTCCGATAGTTTTGATAGTCATGAAGAGAAGGGGTGTAGAAAATTCTTTTCTTGAATCGGAATAGATCAATTTGATGTATGTGTATGATACTAGAACTTAGAAGGGTCTAATTAATACAAATATGGATGGATCAAGTTTCTGATATTTAGCTAACCTTTCATCCTGTTGAAATGGGTAAAGATGACTTAAAGAGAGTTTGAATGATGAACATTATTTTGAAAGTGGCATTTAAGTTTATCCATAGCCATTTGTGAGAAGTGAGAGCTGATTCCTGATATCATGCAGGTACCTTAAGTATTTGACAAAGAAATATTTGAAGAAGCACAACGTGAGAGATTGGCTCCGGGTCATTGCTTCCAACAAGGAGCGCAATGTATACGAGCTCCGCTACTTCAACATTGCCGAGCAAGAGGGCGAGGATGAAGAGTAAACGAAATGGGCATAGTTTCCTATTTCATGTTGCTCTTCCATTTCAGCATCTCAACACAAACAATTTTTTTGTTTTGGTTTTGGTCTTGGATCTGTTAAATTTTCATTTCAGTGATGGATTGACATCTCGAATGGTTCTTTTATAATTGCATGAGTTGGCCGAAGCATTTCTCTTTCGCTCTCTAGCTCCCTGAAACTTATTTCATATTACTGTGCTCTCTAGCTCCATCCATTGTTTACATGTGTTTATGGAACGTGGAAGTTCCAGACAAGAAAATAAGAACTATATGGGGACAAAACCGGTCATCTTCAATGAACATACATGTGGAGCACAGAATAAACTCATTTTGCTCCTGTTGTAGTTATTCCCATCACATCTAATCCAAAACAGTCTCTAATCATGTGGATGTGATTTTCTGTACCTGTGCTATCCAAAATAACCCTGCTAAAATTTATCGAGAATTATACCATTTTTGCCACTATTTAAAACCTGTGAAATTTAATGAGGTAATTACTAATTAGGTAGTGTTGAGGGCAACAGGTAACTGAATGAGCAGAGGTGGGGCTCACGCGCGTCGGCACATACGAGGCGAAGAAATTTGAAAGGCAGCCATCAATGGCCCTGGAAAAAGAAAATTACTGCAAAATTGGACGAGTGTAAGTCTCGTATTTATAGGCTCACTCGCACACACGCACCTGGGACGTTGCATTGTCAGCGAGTGGTGTCCAGAACTTTCCCTTCCGTTTGACACACTCCATGCACTCGTCCACCCTTCGTCCTCTTGCTCTGCTCTGATTCAGATACGCACGTTTCCTTGATCCTCTCTATCTTCATATCATGCCCACCGCTCCACTTCTCCTCTGCTCCTCCCCATTTTGTTTCTGTTTGGGTTCAGTTTCTCGGATCTAACCGTCGTCGCCTCTCCGGCTTGCTCATTCACGCTCCAAGGTACTCTCCTTTTCGTTTGTTAATTAATCTAATTTTATATCTCCTGGATTTGAACGGGTTTATAGGAATTCCGTTCCTGCAACTCTTAGAGTTGGCATGTATTAGGTTTTTGTAGTGAAGAAAGTGGATATTAGTTGATTGAGGGGACTTTGCTTAATGGTTGCCGTGTTTCGGTTATCTGATTTTGGTGATGATGATAGCATGCGTTGAATGTGATTGTTAGTATACATGCGTGCAAGTTATTGCTTTATGCGTCGGTTGTGTGAGCCCTGGCTCCATGGTGGAATCACGCAGTTTTTTGACCAGCTTTGCATTTAATATCTGTTTCTGTAAATTTGTATCGATTGTGTGAAGAAGTCTATGCATTTTCTTCTTCTCATTTAGTCTATTTATTGGATAAAGCTCCAAATCCTCCATGGTTTTTGAGTAGATGAAAATCCTACAAATACTGTTGAATGGTCCCGCAAACTGTGCCCCATTTATCTGTTTCTACGACATGATTGATGCTATTGTGGTTTCTGTTGATCACTTGTGTTCTTCGGGAAAGGATGTTATGTGTCCACCTTGGTGTGGTTTGTAGGTAAGCTGTTTTTTTGAGCCGATTGGTCACTTTGGTTGAGTTGATCTTTGAAGCCTAAGCTGCTGAGTTTTGGAACATGCATGGAGGTTCCAATCAGTCGGGGCATATTACGAAATGCCAATTTTATTTGCTTTTCAATTTTGAAACTCAGCTTGGGGATGTTCTTCGGGGCTTCTTGTATTTTCTGGCTCTTGCATACTGTTTTATAGGATTGTCATCCATCACTGGCCGGTTTTTCCGGTCCATGGAAAATGTGGTTAAGCATTCACGGGCTGTGACTGAGAAAGATCCTCACACTAATGCCAGTGTGGTAAAACACAAAAGGGTCTGGAATTATGCCATAGCCGATATTACTTTGCTGGCCTTTGGGACTAGCTTTCCCCAAATCTCACTGGCAACCATTGATGCACTGAGGAATCTTGGAAACTTGTATGCTGGAGGTTTGTCTGGCTTTCACAGTTGTACATTTGAATTTTCTTCATCATCTCTGTTAAATATATGTATGTATATATATATATATACACGTGCCGTGCCACCACAAATGTTATTGCCCTTTCTATCGTTATAGATTTAAAGTTAATTATCGTTCATATCTTCAGTTTAGAATTTCTTGTGCCTGCATGTTAGTATTATTCTTATTTCTACATACATCTCTGACTCTATGTTTGCTTCTTGGAAGAGTAACACATTTAGCTGTCAATATATGTGGGTCACCAACTGATCACTGGATATTAAGAAGTTGAAACTTATAGTAAGAAAATGCATCTGAAAGGAATTAAAAAATCAGGAGTTATCTTCCTATCACATTCATTTTCTTTTATACTAGTTTAACTTGCGAGAAGTTGATTCAACAATATTGCCTTTATATTTGGAATACTCACCAGAATTGCACCAACAGGTTTGGGTCCAGGAACACTGGTAGGCTCTGCTGCTTTTGATCTCTTTCCTATCCATGCGGTGTGCGTTGTTGTACCAAAATCTGGAGAACTGAAGAAGATATCAGATATTGGAGTTTGGCTTGTGGAGCTCTTTTGGTCTTTCTGGGCTTATGTTTGGCTATACATAATACTAAAGGTGATGTTCTTATGTGATGAAAACACTTTTCCGGCAACAATCTAAGCCTTTTCTGTTCAACTCTGCAGGTGTGGACACCTAATGCCATTACTCTCTGGGAGGCATTGTTGACGGTGTTGCAGTTTGGTCTACTGCTTCTACATGCTTATGCTCAGGATAAGCGATGGCCATATGTATCTCTGCCAATGTAGGTCTCTAATAGTTGATGAACTTGATGTTAATTTACCTTGTTCAAGGGATTAATTTATCTTTCCAAAGGGAGGTTAAAAACAGCCTGTATGACTTTCTACTCCTTAACATTGCATTCGTTTTAGGCCAAGAACAGAGAGGCCTGAGGACTGGGTACCTGCAGAAAATGGCAGCACAGCTTCTGATAAGAACTCCCAGATGCATGAGGTTGAAGACGATAGAAACCACAGCATTGTTGACATATTTTCCATTCATTCTGGTCACAAAGATAATGGTACGTGTTCATCATGCCCCTGGAATTATATCCAAATTCCATCCAAGTCTTCTTTTTTCTCTACTATAATCTTACCTCTTTGAGAATACTTGCTTTATATTTTTAATTAATATTGAGCATGAACTGTCATGGGCCTCATGGCAGCTTATAAAGACATTTGAAATTAGAAGAACAAGAAATCCATGGCATAGTATTCATCTGAGCCACAATCCATTTGTATGAAATTTTATTTATCTGACACCAATGCTGTTCTTGATTCCCCTTCAGATAACTCACCTGCAAAGAGGAAACCAGACAAAGATAATTTACTATCAATCTGGAAACAGCAGTTTATTCGTGCCTTCATGGTACTAAATTAATTTTGTGTCTTCGTGTAGTTTGTTTCCATGTCTAATCATGTTCTTACTGAATTAGCCTATGTTCATTTCACTATGCTATGACTTTCTATAGTTGGTCAAGATGGTAACAAACATCTATATTTCTTTGTGCTATTTTGTGAACACGATACACACTGCAGTTGGAGAAGCCAAATTCAAGAAATCAGAACACTAAACCATGGGCCCGAGCGGCAAAAATTTTCTGGGAGTTATTGCTTGTACCATGGAGATTAGTGTTTGCATTGGTACCGCCGTATCAGATTGCTCATGGATGGATCGCATTCATCTTCTCTTTGGCCTTTATCAGTGGTGTAGCTTTCATAGTGACAAAGATTACTGATTTGATCAGCTGTGTTACAGGTCCACATGTATTAATTTGATGACTTGATCATATATGCTTTTCAATATGTATATCGAATCAACAACTCAGCTCTGTTCATCATCGCTCGTGCAGGTATCAATCCATATGTAATTGCATTCACAGCATTGGCGGCAGGGACGTCATGGCCAGATTTGGTAGCAAGCAAAATAGCAGCAGAGCGGCAGATAACAGCGGACTCTGCCATAGCCAACATCACATGCAGCAATTCAGTGAACATCTACATTGGCATCGGTGTGCCGTGGCTGATCTCGACAGTGTACAACTACTGTGCATACGGGAGGCCTCAGCCTCTGAGGATAGAAAATGCAGCAGGGCTGAGCTTCTCCTTGATAATATTCTTTGCAACATCAGTGGGGTGCATTGGCGTGTTGGTGTTCCGACGTCTGACCCTGGGCGCGGAGCTCGGCGGTCCGAGAGTCTGGGCATGGGCTACTTGTGTGTATTTGATGCTGCTTTGGCTTGTGTTCGTTGTGCTGTCATCTCTACGAGTTTCTGGGTTCATCTGATTCTGATCTCAAACTCAAACTACATATATGGATACTAAGTGCTCAGCAGTCAGCAGGCAAAGGCACAAGTCTTCTTTTCACCGTGAAAGGGAAAGCCTGGAGAGAAGAATATCGTATTTAGTCAGTCAGTCAGTCAGTCTTCCTCCTGTTTGTCATGATCGTCTTCTTGCCCGATAAATTGAATGAAGACGAAAGAATCAGAGTTGAGATGAGGTTGATATAATATTATTGTTATTATTATATGATTTATGAACTCGATGGATGAGACTTGATAGATGGAATAGCATCTTGCAAATGGACTTTAACGAATCTGAAGTCAAAAGAAGCCCAGGTAGGTTTTTACCTCTATTGGTCGCATCCAATATACATTAGACTCTGGACCTCTGGTTATGGGCGGGCTGAGTGTTGTTTGTAATTGTAATTGTAGTTGTTGGTGAACTGACCTGCCTGGCCCAGGTTATGCATTCATCTTCTAAATTTTAATAGTAAAAAAAACAGCAGTCCATGGTCTCTGCTCGACTGAAATCCTTTGAATTGGGGGAGGGATGATATGAACATGATTGATATATAGGTCCGCTTGCGGCCAATGCCATGTCTGCTCTCGCCGTCGGCTCACTTCCACACGCCTCCTCTTTCAAGCCTTTGAGGAGGCAGAGGAAACCAGTATGCAATGCCGCCAGGGCTGGGCTTGAGATCGAAGAGTATCATGACGAGCATTTCCGAGCTGCACTGCTGCGGGTTTCTCTTCGTTTACAGGAGACTCTTCGCCCAGGCATAATTATAGACCTCTCTCTCTCTCTCTCTCTCTCTCTATATATATATATATATATATACACTATGCTGTTTAATATGCATAAAATCCGTTCAGGCATTTCTTCGAACATTTGTGTGTCAGTTATTATGCGCGTTGTATTCTCTGAAACGAGCAGCCATAGTTGTTGTTTTATGTTGGTTCTGCATGATTTGCGAGGTACCTTCCTTAATTAAAATCATCTGTCTAATATTTGGAATTTGGATGCGGTAGATCCTCTGTTCATAGACCCGTACATCGGATGCCTTTTGCCACCCGACCATCTTCAAATGGACAAGAGTCTGGGTGTGCACAGCCACTGCCTTGCGACTAAGTTCATTGACGACAAATTGCTCGGCACAATGGAAAAGAATGATGGACCTATGCAGGTAGGTATAAATTAGTGTGTGTGTAGGCCACGTTGATACTTATAGTATAGATGCTTATCTTCTTAGTTGTTCCAGGTTGTTTTATTCACAGACGGCATGGATACTCGGCCTTACAGGCTTAATTGGCCTGCTTCAACAATACTGTTTGATGTATCTCCAGATAGACTATTCAGGGAATCAATCCAGAAACTTGAAGGTTTTTAAGTTATTATCTTGGAAACTCTCCAGCATTCCCAAGTGTTCCTTCACCATATCATCTTTAAGCATTTCAAATTTATGCTTTTTCTGGACCTATGAATGATAAAATGATCAAGTTTATCCCTAAATTAAGAAATTGACTGTAATGTTGGTGAAAATTGTCATTTGATCGATGTCCTTTTCTTTGAAATTATGTGGTTTGCACTTATGCTCTCCTTTTTTTTTTTTTTTTTTTTCTCAATCATGTGCTTCGTTTAATCAGAACTGCAATTGTATCTAACCTATAGTTTTTTACAACAATCAGCTTTCGGTGCTAAGGTTCCAAGAAGTTGCTTGTTCCTTCACATCCCATCGGAAGCACCAGATGTTCAACAAGAATTACGAAGTAAAGGATTTAGTGGTACCAGGCCAAGTTTGTGGGTTCTCCAGGTGACATTAATTCTGTTCTTAATACATGAAGCACATTTCCCTCGATTTTGACACTCTCTCCTTCCCAATTTATTTGTGGAGTTATATACAATAGAGATGTCTGTTTTATGTTGCTAGGGACTACCAATAATGACATTGGCTAATTTTAAAGATACCTTGAGCATTGTCAGTAATTTAACTATGAAGGGATGTTTTTTCATGGGAGAAGTGCCTGGTTGGCTGGTTGGAAGTGAGACCATGGAGAAGGTTTGTCAGTTTGTTATTTCTATAAGAAATTTATTGAGTGTCCCTGTTGATCTGTTTGGGTCTGTCTGCACTGGAGGTGTTCATCTTTCCAACTTGATCCAATTGCTATATACATATAGTCGTCAACAATGAAATGGATGGACAAAATCTTCATGAGCCATGGTTTAAGAGTGGAGATGATCAAGCATGATGAGGTTGCCAGAAGGCTGGGGGAAGAAGTAAGGGTGGATGAGAAGAAGGATATACTTTTTATGGCGGAGCAACTGCAGTTTTCGGATGATCAGGTACATGTCCTAGCCCTACGTATATTGATATATAAACTTGTGGCTTGTATGCATAATGATGGATTGCTTATCCAGGAGGTCCTATAGATTGTTGCATCAATGATTGATGCATTCAAAATTGATATGTATGAATGTATGTAAGAAGGGATAATTATGATGTGAAGTGTTGGGATGCAGATGGAAATGTGGAGGAGAGAGTTGCAGAGAATGGAAGATGAGGCGGATGAAGAAGGATTTGAGGAGCTCTGAAGGAAAGAAGGAAGGAAGTGCATTCCACTTGCATTTGTGCCCATCCATACGAGTACATCACTCTATTTAATTATTGCTTCATATTGATAATAGATGTGTGTGTGATCTTTCATTGTCTGTGTTTCCGTGTGTGTTGGTGTATAAATTTAACTACTAAGTCATCCATCAAGTAAGAGAGAGGTGTGAGAGTGCTACTGGGATGGGGATGGGGATGGGATAGGGATAGATTCTCAGGGGTTTCAATAATGAATATGCCATGGTCCATGAATGAGTATGGGTTGGTTCAAGAGTCAAGACTATATGTTTTATGTAGTAGTAGTGTTGTACTATATGATGGTGAGGATGAGGATAGCAATGAATGAAACCTCATCGTCCATCCAGAAAGTATCCTTCCTTCCTGAGGGGTGGGTGGGGGCATTCTTGCCAATTTGGCATTGGCATTGGCATTGGCATTGACCAGTCCAGTGGAGTTGATCGAGGAATAGGATAGGGTAGGATATGTTTGGGTTGGGTCAAAGAATTAGCGTTGATTGAAATGAATCCCAATTTGGGTTGGGTTGGGTTGACTGACCCGGCCCAGCTAGCTAGCTAGCTATTTCTAGCTTGGTGTTGATTGAAATGAATCCCAATTTGGGTTGGGTTGGGTTGACTGACCCGCCCCAGCTAGCTAGCTAGCTAGCTATTTCTAGCTTGGTGTTGATTGAAATGAATCCCAATTTGGGTTGGGTTGGGTTGACTGACCCGCCCCAGCTAGCTAGCTAGCTAGCTATTTCTAGCTTGGTGTTGATTGAAATGAATCCCAATTTGGGTTGGGTTGGGTTGACTGACCCGCCCCAGCTAGCTAGCTAGCTAGCTTGGTGTTGTACTTGTATCCATAACTCCCACTTGCTGCACCACACCTTCCTTCCTTTCTTCCTTTCTCTATTCCTTCCTTCCTCTTTTATTAATTTCCCCTCCCCCCACCATCTCTATAAATACTGAATAGTAATAACAATAATAATACATCCCCTCCTGCAGTGCAGCTATCAGACCAGAGGCAGAAGAAGGAAGGAAGAAGCTCAAAATTTCTTCTGCAGCTGCATCCTGCCAATTAATTAATAAATTAAGTATCTCCAATTCCATAATAATAATCATATGGCAGCTCGTGCTTGCTCCTCTTCCTCCTATATTATTTTGATGAGCCGCCAAATTATCTCTGACTCCGTTCTGCTGATGACAAAGTGTTTCACCAGCAGCAGCAAGGGATATGCTTCTGTTTCTGCTTCAGCTCCTGCTTATGCATCTGAGGCTGAGGCTGAGGCTGAGGAGGTGAAGGTGTGTGGCCATGGCAAGAGGAGTGGGGCGTGGACGCCGGACCCAGTGACGGGATGCTACCGCCCCCAACACGTACATGCCAAGGTGTTGATAGACGCCGCCGAGTTGCGCCGGACCATGCTCTCTCGCTACCAACACCACCACCACCACCTTGATCTAACTAACTAACTAACTAACTAAATGCACCATGCAGATTCAATTAACGGACGACATCTCCTCCCCGTACTTACTTATTCACATTGTAATCCTTTGATTTCAATTCCCTCTGCTCTGCTGTGCTGATGTACTACCCTTAATAAATATCTCTATCACTCCAGTCTCCAGCCTTCTTCTTGATGGATTCTCGAATCACTCACTCAACTCACTTGGACAACCAACAAAGATAATGAAACGAAGACTTAACTCATACCCAATAATTTTCTTACACTGCTCATTAATTCCTCTATCCCTCTCTCTCTCTCTCTCTCTCTCTCTCTCTCTCTCTCTCGTGAAAGTTCAACCAGCTTGTTTGTTTGATTTTTTGAATTGTTTTACAAAATTATACTACAAAAATATATTACAATATTCTTTTATATGTCTGTCTGTATGTATGGACTATAGGCCACTAATTATATATATACTTATAAAATATTATTTAAATTAAAATTAAACAAACCCATAATTTTACAAACATGCACATAAACAATCCGTGAAGGTTCGATATAAAAAGTCTTTCAATGCATGTACGTTTACCAGGGGTAGTAAATAGGTACTTATCGATAATTAATTAATTGATTAATTTATTCACAATTTTACCTGTTAATTAATTCATACTAATTGGCATCCACAAATACCTGTTTTAAGTAGTCGTCGGCTGGAAAAGCAAGCAAGCAATTAATAAGTATAGTTTAATGGCAGTAGTAATTAATGACTCTCTTCCATGCCTGCACTGAACTGGATTATCCTTTTTCTACCGGGTACCTACCTTTCTCCCCTCCCCTCCCCTCCCCTCTCATTTGGTCAGATTATTCCAATTATTTCAACATTGCGTTAATGACATAGCTACCTAGAGAAAGTGCAAATTGCAAGGCAGAGATTTTGACCATGGAACATGGATTCAAGAAAGCTAGCTAATTATAGCAGGAAGGATTTTATTTCATATATACCTGCCTGCCTGAATTCAAATCTCACCCTAATTATAGCAGGAAGGATTTTATTTCTTGCTACTTTTACAAGTGGAAGAAGGAGCTCTCACTACAGATGACCAAGTACACTACTCATCACCTACTAGCTACTACCACCAACTCTGTACTCAATTCTTCTTCTTCTTCTTCTTCTTTTACTACTAATAATAGCTCCGAAGCCCAACAACCCATACAATCACAGGATAAAAAAAAAAACATCTAGATGGGTGGGTGAAGGGGTTATTGTAGGCGTGCGTAATTGGTTAATTGAATTACACTACATTTGAAAGAGATGGTGGTTTATTACCTTCCTCAAACTCATCATAGTCATAGTCGACTTCTTCTTCTTCTCCATCATCATCAATCCATCTCCATCTCCGGCGATGCTGCTACTCTGCCTTTCGGAATTGACACAGTCGAAGCCGCAGCCGCACTGGGGGCTCTCGTAGAAGTTATCGATGGGGAAACTGGCGGACAGAATCCCAACGGAGAAGGCGATCTCGTCGCCGTCCTGGATAACCTCGACGATGTCGATCCAGAAGAACAGCACCTTCACCTGTATCCCCTTCAGGTCCTTGATCTTCCCCCTGCTGATAGTCCCGCTGATTGTCGCCTTGTACTTGAGTGAGTACCCTTCTATGCTGAAGGAGCACGAACTGTTCAAGTACACCGAGAACTTCCCCGTCGCCGGATCCAGCTCGTACGACGTCACTCCCTGGGGTAGGAGCCCCACCGGAAAGCCGTACGCCAGCAGGACTTGGTAAGCTGATAGTTTCGGCGGGTCCGCCGCCGCGGAGGCGGTGGTGTTGGGGGCGGAGGAGAGGAGGACTAGGTTCGCGAAGAGAAGGAGGAGCGGAGGCAACATGGTGGCGATTGGTGAGCAAATTAAGAGACACAAAGAGTGAGAGTATGTGAGGATATAATATGAGTGGTGGGGTGGGGTGGAGTGGGGGGTTGGTGGCCAGAGACTCTTTCCTTTTGACTGATAGGTGGGTGGTGGTGGTGTGTGGTGCTGCGTTGGTTTGGTTTGATTGGGTAAGTTTCCCAACGTGTTTCTTGAAATATGGATAATTAATTTTTGTACTTCAATTTGCACATGCTTCTGAGCTACTACTACTACTACTACACTACACATAATACAATAATGCATTGTTTTTTGTTTTGTTATTGAATGACTTGCATGGTTGAGAATTTTAGCACTATTTTACATGCTACCTGTAGTGCAGTGTGGTCTTTCTTGTTTGAAAGTTTGTTTTTTATATACATCATCCCCTCAAACTTATCATCGGCTTCCAGGGCATCGGGAAACTGTCAGTCTGTCACAATCGGACAAAAGCAATTCCTGATACTTATTATCCCTTTCTATGAATGTACATGAATCATGGACGGGATCAATTTGATAGCCATATTCGCGCAGTGTGAAACCAAGCAGACTCACAGTTCATCTTGCAAAGGGCAGCATTCCACAGATGATCGATCCATTGTTCTTAAGACCAGTGTTTCGTTTAGATTAAGAATTTTAAATTTTTTTGAAAAATGTTTGATGGGACTCGAGAGAAGGTGCTATGGGCGATACCTGGAAACCTGAAGTTAATCTCGGCTCACTGTTCGGATCTCCAGATTCTCCACTAGCTAATTTCCGAACTCGTTACTCACTTTCTTTTCAGTGTAGGTCCTGATTGCCGGAATCTTCCTCTCCGATATGCTATGAGGAGCATACGACGGAGTCTTGTCCAGAAATTTGGTTTCAACGAGTCCAGGCATTTTTCGAGATGTGGAAATTGGCACGCGAGCAAAGCTCCATTAGTGCACGCACACGCTGAGGGAATGTTTCGCGAGCGTGATGTCGGAGTGCTGATTTTTGGCTTCCACGTAGGCGTCGATCGAGTTGAGGAGCGGCACGGCGATGCTTTGAAGCCTGGAGTGGGTAGCCGAGAGGCGATAACTTAAATAAATCAACCTAGGATAAGAGGGTAAGGTGATGGAGTAGGGTTTCAGTCCTGGCAGAGTTGAAGGCCTTGCGAACGAAGGGGATGAGATAATCGCCAATGAAGAGTGCAGCATAGAGAAGAAGCTTATCTTGCTTGTCTGGCGAGTCCCCGGAGCCGCCGCCCTCGGAAAAAAATCATCCGACGAATTTTTTTGGAGTGCATTCTGTATTCGCCGATGAAAGAAAGAGGACCTCTGTCAGAGCTTGTCTGTGTGTGCGCGTGCATTGTGTATACGTATTCCTTTGAGAAGGAGATACAAACCAAAGTGGAGGCAGTGTGACGGTGGCGACGGTGACGGAGAATTTATTTCCGACCGCCGCGACGACCTTCATTGCCCCGGAGCCATTTTCGTGGTGTAGCTTTAATTACAGACATTCTGTCATTACCCTCATTATAAAATTTCACCTTTGCCCTTTTTTGTTCATCAACAGTAGCTGATTTTTTTAATTAATTATTTTTTTACCCCCAAACACTCACACGCACTCATAGCCCCAAATGGGAAATGCCGCCATTTTATCAACAAGGGTTTTGGCATTAACAGTAGGTGATTTTCCCACTTAAGGTTGCAGTTAACAACAACATAAGTATACTTTTACAACAGTGCCTGGGGTTTTTCCTTAGAGAAGTTCTGAATTCTGTGGTTTCACTCATTTGTGAGCTAGAACAGATTTAGTTGCAATCCTTTTTGTGAAATTTCTTACAGCTGTTCTGCTGGGCACTGAAAATTGTCAAAGCAACGTGGCGTTGTGCTCCTCAATAAACAGGTATTCATTACTATGGCCATCAAATTTTACATATGCAAGTTTATACTCCCATTGGTATCCAACTCTCACAACTCAATGGGATCTCTTTCACATCTTATGCTTTATTATTATTCTTTCTAGTACTTACTGTCACCAAATTGGTGCCTCTATTGTATTTCCATTGCCCCAGCCCTTTGAGGAAGAAGTAAAAAGGATGGATGCTTGGTGCATAGAAGGGGGAAATCATCATGAAGCAGGTTAGTGTGGTTATATTACATGATTGGCAGTGAATAGGAAGGAGGATACATATGTGATTGGGGTGCACTGTATTATGTATGTATTGATTGCATTGTAACTTGAAACCTTGGTCCATGGATGGTGGTTGAGTTAATTAAGACTGTTTGGATTATGAAGGAGGGAAGGGAAAGCAGTTAATGCATGCTTTAGTCAAGAAGGCATGCTACAACTTTCCCATCGAAACAGGGTGCAGGAGAAGGGTGTCACCCCAATTGTGGCATCTCCCCTCCATGTGCACTCTGCCGAAAATGACATTTACACAGACATAAGGTTATAGTAGTATATTTTTATGCATGCATTCTTTGAGTGGATAAGTGTGGGGACTGCCTCCTGCTGGATGCCACTGGGGAAGTACATGAGCATCATCAAGATTTTGTTAGTATCTAAAGCTCAAGACGAGAACTAGAGAAAAGGTCCCCTCTTTAAGTCATTCTCATTTACTGTGTTGTGCTGTGTTATTAACTTATTATAATGTTTTTCAATTTCCAGATCCGGCGGCAACGACATCCCCTCTTCCACGGGGCACCCAAGGACAGAGAGAGAACCAGAAGGGAACTTGGAGAAGCTTGGGTCACGTGACCACACAGTCAATATTCTTACCGTTGAAAAAGTAACACCTCTACTCCCCAAAACTGCTAAATGCCAAATACAAAATACCCGTTGTTTGTCTTTCCCTCTCCCTCTCCCAACGGCTACAGCTGAAACTGTATATGTATGTATGTATCGCCACATTCGATCTGTTGGCCCTATAAAACTGCAGCTCAAGCTCATAGCTCCTTCTCTGTATCCCAACCAACAATGGCATCTTTCCCCACTCCCTTTTCTTCTGTTTTCCTATCTTTCTTTGTCTCCCTGCTGCTGCTGATTTGCTCCTCCAATGCCACCGCCTACCCTGCCGGAAAGCACCACCGTTTCGGCCACCACTTTGCCTTCCACAACTACGGAGACGCCCTCTCGAAATGCATCTTGTTTTTTGAGGGCCAGAGATCGGGCAGACTCCCCCCTAACCAGAGAATCACCTGGAGAAAAGACTCTGGCCTTACTGATGGCTCAGCAATGAATGTATGCATTAAATAAATTTGTTTTTACAGAGAGGAGGTTTTCACTTTTCATTAATTTCCCGGTTCTTGTTAAATGCCTAATGCAGGTCGATTTGGTGGGAGGGTACTATGATGCAGGGGACAATGTGAAGTTCGGGTTTCCAATGGCCTTCACCACCACCATGCTCTCATGGAGCGTCATAGAGTTCGGTGGTCTGATGAAGGGAGAGCTGCAGCACGCCAAGGAAGCCATCCGCTGGGGCACTGACTATCTCCTCAAGGCCACAGCTCACCCTGACACCATTTATGTCCAGGTGGGAGATGCAGGCAAGGATCACTCCTGCTGGGAAAGGCCCGAGGACATGGACACTCCAAGAACTGTGTTTAAAATTGATAAGAACACTCCAGGCACAGAAGTCGCGGCTGAAACCGCTGCTGCTCTGGCTGCAGCCTCATTGGTCTTCAGGAAAACTGATCCTGTCTACTCCAGGCTCCTAGCCACAAGGGCCATCAGGGTATTGGATCTGTTAATGTGTGTTGCCCAATGGTGGCCTTTGCAATTTGCATGCCAATGATTTGATCGATTTATATTGGTTATTTGGTGATCTTGATTAGGTGTTTGAATTTGCGGACAAGCACAGAGGTGCCTACAGTGTTGGGTTGAGATCATACGTGTGCCCCTATTACTGTGACTTTTCCGGGTACCAGGTAAAAATCTAGCTTGATTGACTAGTCCCATTTAGTTTGTTTTCTTGCCATGAATTGAAATATGACTTCTTGTGTGTTTGTTGGTTTAAGGATGAGCTGCTGTGGGGAGCTGCCTGGCTACATAAAGCAACCAGGAATCCTGGGTACCTCAGCTATATCAAAGCAAATGGGCAGACACTTGGAGCTGATGAATCAGACAACACATTTGGGTGGGACAACAAGCATGTTGGGGCCAGAATTCTTCTTTCCAAGGTCCTCTTTTTCTTTCTATCTTTCAATCAATCTCCCTTTTCTTGTTGCTTCTTAGTATTATTATTTATTACTCTTATTTGTTGGGCAGGCATTTCTTGTCCAAAATGTCCAGACTCTCCACGATTACAAAAGCCGTGCAGATAACTACATTTGCTCCCTGATTCCAGGGACTCCCTACTCCACTGCCCAGTACACCCCAGGTCTGTGCCCTTCATTAATTAATAATTAATCATCAAAAGAATAGAAGGGAAGGATTGAATGATGGATTAATGGGCGGGCACTTGTCAGGTGGGCTTCTGTTCAAGATGAAGGATGACAACATGCAGTACGTAACATCCACTTCCTTCCTCCTGGTGACCTATGCCAAATACTTAACCATTGCTCGCAAGGTTGTCTACTGTGGAGGTGCTGTTGTCACCCCTACCAACCTCAGAGCTTTGGCCAAGAAACAGGTGGACTATCTTCTGGGAAGCAATCCGTCGAGAATGTCGTACATGGTGGGGTATGGTGGCAGGTATCCCCAGAGGATCCACCACAGGGGTTCCTCCCTTCCATCCATAGCCGCCCATCCATGGAAGATCCAGTGCTCCTACGGGTTCTCCTTCATGAATTCCCAATCCCCTAACCCTAACATTCTCACAGGTGCCGTCGTGGGAGGTCCCGACCGCGTGGATCAATTCCCGGACCAGAGATGGGATTACGCGCAGTCGGAACCCGCCACTTACATCAATGCACCCCTCCTTGGCACCTTGGCATACTTTGCACACTCATTCGCCCAATTATAGATAATACTTAAGAAGTGTATAACTGTGTATTTTTGTTGCCTGCCAACTTTTACCTAATTATTAATTTATTTGTTTACCTTCTCAATTTGTCAATAATAAATATGGCGGCGAAGTAGGAATGATATTGGTATTGGAATTAAAGTCCTTATCATAATACTATCATTTATGATTATGATTATATTAGTCATTAATTTAAGGGTTTAGAGTTAAATTTCGCACATGATCATGGTGGGAATTAAATTAGAATTAGACTTAAAATGAGGCGATATTTGTTTAATTTTCGAGGCTCGCCTTAGAAAATTTGACCTAAATTCTTTTGATCGAATAAATCTGAATCATGCTAAAATTAACAATAATGGTTGTGTTTGTTTAATTCTTCACGGCTACATCGTGGATACATAAATTTTTATAATCTTTCTGGAAGATATTTCAGGAATTCCAATTTTCCACTTCCACTTTCACTGTTCCACTCCCACGTGACCTTCCACCATATTGACAGCTACTCTCCTACTCCTATAGCCCTATCCTAATTCCTACCCAAGACTCAATTCTGAAGGAAATATTGAAATGTTAAGGGGTAAGAAAGCGCCAAATGCCACGTGTAAACCGACCCGACCCGAACCGAACAGAACAGATGAAACCCAGCCCAACCACCATCCACTTAAATCGCACCTTAATCTTCCAATTCCAACACCCACACAAATTATAAATAAATAAATATCAATAATAAAAATATCTATCTTCTTGCTGCTCTGCTGCCTCTCTTCTCTCTTCACCTTCTTCTTCTTCTTCGTCATTTGTGTGGCTTCGACTACAGCTCCCTCTACAGTCTCGTCCCTCCCATTTTTTCATCTCTTCCTCCCGCCTTCTGCTGTGTCGTATCAATTCCCAATATCATCCGATTCACCGCCAGCTTTCCTTCAATCTGAATATATATTTTTTTTAATTTTTTTTCTCTCCTTTATTTGCTTTTTGGCGCCGCAGCTTCTTATACTTCGTGTTGTTGCACTTATTTCGCGCTGGGATTGGCGTCCGTGATTTGTGTTACTCACCTGCGCTCTTTCGCTTGTTACGGTTCTCATCGATGCTGCGGATTGCAAAATGGCTTCTGCTTCTTCAATGTCGGGTAATTTTCTTTTTTCTTTTCTGTATCGAAAACGTTGCTGTTCTCTTTCATTTAGTGAGAGCGGGTTTTCATTTCCTCTGCGTTTTTCTAGGATATCCCGGCTATTTCGTGTACCTCTGTAAATGTGCTATGGTTACTTTTTCAGTGTGTGTTTGTGGATTCTGCGGACAGTCGTAAACGCCTTGCTGTGGTTGGCTTATGTTCCATTGAATATTTTATTATTGATTTACTTCATCTGGAATTCTTGCAGTCTCCGTAGAATGCTTGAATATATGTAAATTTCGGAAAGGAGACCTGAGTGGAAAGAATGATTACGGTGTGCTTTCATGCGCTTCAAAAGCTCCGAGAGTGCTCAGCGGGTTTCTCGCAAGCACTGCTCATCCTCATCAATCATGTGGAAGAATTGTGAGAAGAAATAGCAGCACCCCATATGTGAGTACTTAGTTTTCTTCTACTAGAATCTAAGACAATATCAACAAATAATAGGTACATGTGGCAAATTAAGGTAGCTTTTATTTTCTTTCTGGAGGTTTTAATAAGTATTAGTTGTTCCTGCTTATTAACTTATAGGAGAAGGTTAGAGAAATTACTTTCATGACCTATGACAATAAACCATAGTTTGATTTACCATTCTTACTCTTATTATCATCTGCACTTATAGATTCATTGCTGTTTTATTTCATTTATGGAAGGGTATAGACTTTCTTCACTACCTAAATACAGCAATCCTCTTATTAATTTATGCCAGAGATGTGAAGATTGGGTAGAGTCATACTTATATGAGGTCTCCAATTTCGCCAATTCACGGAAGCTCAAACCCTCAATCATCGCTAATTTTGCTCGTGGTACATGGAAACTATATTGTTCTTCATCTTCATTTTCTTCAGAATCAAGTGAGGTGTCTACCGAAAGCCTGTGGGAGGTAAGTCGAACTTATTTTTGGCTATATATCTGAGATGTGTAGTAACGACAAATGGTATTATCGATGCTTTGTCACACAATAAAGAACAAATTGTGGCTTTGAAGGATGAATAATGTATGAGATCCTGCCAAACATGACTGTTATGTTGCGAATACGAATAAACATCCAACCTAGGTGTAAAGCTGAGATTTGTACTGGGTAATGGCTAACATATTAGATAACCTGCAGCTGGCAGTGAAAATAGATAGTATTGGTTATTATCAAGTTATAGTGCAGGTGTTGTCTCATCACTAGCTAGTATTCATTTCATCTTGATATGATTGGAATGAAGTTATTGTGTGTGCAATTATTACCGTATTTACAGTGTTACATTTTGATTGATTATCCTCTCAGAATCTTAAACCTAGCATCTCATATCTGTCTTCAAAGGAGCTGAAATTGGTCCGAGAAGCCCTGAATGTAAGTTTGTATCAGTATTAATATGCAATTGAGAATTTGTACTTTTGCATTGAATGTGTAAGATTTAGCCTAGATGTGTTTATTATCTTACTCTTGCCTCTTGTGTTAGTTGGCATTTGAGGCACATCATGGTCAAAAAAGGCGCAGTGGCGAGCCCTTTATTATTCATCCAGTTGCAGTTGCTCAAATTCTTGGAGAACTTGTGAGTTATAACCAAGTTTACTCTTCCTGACTCTTTTCTGTTTACTTTTACTTTTACTCTTTCTCTTACTTGAATATTTTATTTCAGGAATTAGATTGGGAGTCCGTAGCAGCTGGTTTATTACATGATACAGTGGAAGATACTAATGTTGTTACTTTTGAAAGAATAGAGGAGGATTTTGGTGCAACTGTTCGTCATATTGTAGAAGGGGAGACAAAGGTGGTTTCACTTCGTTTATTCATTTTATTATTATTGTTGTTAAGAATCTGAAATGGTTTGCGCTATTTAAATCATGTATTAGTGAGGAAGAAATGCTTATTCTGAATGTTTAGGTTCTTTTTTCCGAAAATAAAATTTAGTACCTATTATCTTTATTTAATGGTACTAGGTATCTAAACTTGGGAAACTCAAGTCAAACGATGATAACCTTTCTGTTCAAGATGTAAAAGCTGATGATCTCCGTCAGATGTTTCTGGCAATGACAGAAGAGGTGAGAACACGTAACTTTCTTGTCATTTTAGTGACATTATCTTCTCTGATGCTCTCTGTTGGCAATTTTTGTTCATCAGGTCCGAGTTATAATTGTGAAGTTGGCTGATAGATTGCATAACATGAGAACTCTGTCACACATGCCTCCACACAAGCAGGTTTCTCTCTCTCTCTCTCCCCCCCTCTTGAGAGAATATTTTCTCGTGTTTTTGTTGATGTCTTTGCATTGTTATTTGTTAATATTATCCATTATTTACAGTACAGCATAGCAATGGAGACACTGCAGGTTTTTGCTCCTTTGGCAAAACTGCTGGGAATATACCAAATAAAGGTATTGCATTTTCGCTTCCTAGGAACATCTTATGTCTTCATAGTGTATCTTATATTTAACATCCAGTAGCCCATTGTGAAGGGAGATCAGGTTGTGGGTCATAGCTTTTTCCTTTATATAAATGAACTCATGTGATGTTGATTTTTTACACGGGATTTATATTTATGGATTTTCATAGTTATTTTATATTACTGCAGTTGTTATGATGACATTTTTAACTCCCACTCCAAGCTCTGGGTTGTGACCATATTTATCAATTTCATATTTGGACCAATTGGAAAATTTTGTGCATTTAAATGATCAAACTTGTGTGTGTTTCTTGTTTTAGTTATATATTCCTTTTATTGGCTTATACAAATTGTGGCACTGCCATCACTTGATTAGCATCAAAGTTTCCTACACAAGTTGAGCACTATCGTAAAGAATTTTGTTGCATGAATATCCATTGATTACCTTCAGGATTTTTGCCACAAATTTTCAAAGCAATTGTATCTTTGAGACTTGTATTCAATCATGATGGAGTAATTGAACCCAAATTTAACTATCAAAATTTAACTATCAATATAAATGCTTGACCAGTTTTCTCATATGTTTTTTTACCCACACACACACTCATGCACCCCACTGGGATCGAACCTCCAACCCCTGACATACCAAGGGAGGGTTTAACAGCTTGAACTACACACCCTCGGTTTTCTCAAATGCTTACAGGCACTTATTTTGCCTGCTGTATTTACTCTTATTCTGTTATAAATTTTATTGTTTAGTTTGCTTCCTGGGAATATAATTCGATCAAGCTTGGTGTATTTTATATCATACATGCATCACTTGTTTCACATAATGACGTGGATTTTAAATATTTTGCAGCCCTGTGTTAAATTTATGCTCATTCCAGCTTGTTTTTGGTACAGTCTGAGCTTGAAAACCTGGCATTTCAGTATACAAATCCTCAAGATTATACTCAAATCAAAAGAAGAGTAGCAGAACTTTATAGGGAACATGAAAAGGACCTCAAAGAGGTAATATTGGCGTATTCCGTGTACTGTCCAGAGTACTCCTAGTTGCTGACTGTATCATGCAGCATGTGAAGTTTCTGTCCCAAGCGAGCAGTGTATTAATGAAATATTCAAATTTTAGACATGCTTTTTGCATTATGCATGTGTTATGATTTTTTATTTATTGTTTTCTCTAAGTGGGTAAGTAATCTACCCTGGTCTTTTCTCGCTTATTAGGCAAACAAAATTTTGCTGAAGAGGATTGAGGACGACCAATTCTTAGACCTTGTGACTGTAAAAACTGAGGTCCAGCCAGCATGCAAGGAACCTTACAGGTAATTTATAAATCTCTTATGCATATGCAATAGATATTTGACTGCATAGGCTCACATTTCTTCTCCATGTACCATATATTTGCTGTTCAGAAGTTAGACAGTTCAAATGGCTAGGATTGGAAATTGCTTATACAATTTTCCATCTTATGTTTTATTTAGTGTTGCAATGAAGGTTGCTACTCATTTTATTTTATTTTTAATAAATATATGCAGCATATATAAAGCTGTTCTTAAATCTAAAGGCTCAATAAATGAAGTAAACCAGATTGCACAGGTTTGTTGACTGTGGCCTTTGGTAAACTTGTTAATATGTTAATGGCCCATGATTCTCACACTTGCAAATGTTTAATTTACAGCTGCGAATTATTATAAAACCAAAGCAATGTATTGGGGTTGGGCCTTTATGCGGTGCACAACAGGTAAACATGTTACCCGTCAAGTTTGATGCATATAATTTTAATCTTCTTATTAAGTTGAATTTTGCTCTTACTGACCAGCACTTCTCATGCAGATATGTTACCATGTGCTTGGACTGGTACATGGAATTTGGACTCCTATTCCTCGAGCTGTACGCATCGCCCTTCTCATCATCATCTTTTTCTTCTTATTCATTTTTTTTTTTTTGTTTTTTGTAAATATAGTGAAATATTTACATTATATGCTGCTCCTTTAGCACATTTTTCTATCCTTAATTTGTTATCAGATGAAGGACTATATTGCCACCCCAAAACCAAATGGTTATCAGAGTCTTCATACTACAGTGATTCCTTTTCTCTACGAAAGCATGTTTAGGCTGGAAGTTCAGGTCTGGCATTATTTTCATGGTTATGCTTATAACTTTTCTCTCTTCATGTTCTGTCCTTATCCATCTAGTATGGTTGCAGAAAATGAATTGATATATATCATAGCTATTTCCTTTTGTGTTTTGTATTATCTGATCTTGTTACTTCTCATGAATTTGATTTGCAGATTAGGACAGAAGAGATGGATTTGATTGCTGAAAGAGGGATAGCCGCTCATTATAGTGGTAAAGTTTTTGTAAATGGCTTGGTTGGATATGCTATGCCTAATGGCAGAAACTCCCGAGGAAAAACAGCCTGCCTCAACAATGCCAATGTTGCTCTCAGGGTATTATACTTGTCATACATCCTGTGAAACACTTATTTTTGTCCTCTACACTAGTATTTAATTTGCAATTATTTCAGATTGGTTGGCTCAATGCAATCCGAGAGTGGCAGGAGGAGTTTGTGGGAAATATGAGCTCTAGGGAATTTGTTGATACAATCACCAGGGATCTTCTTGGCAGCCGTGTCTTTGTATTCACACCAAAAGGAGAGGCAAGATTCTGGTAATTATGTTCTTATGAGTTTGAGATATATTAGTTTCGATTCTAAATCTTTTGCCTTACTACAGATTAAAAATCTGCCCAAGGGTGCAACTGCCATTGATTACGCATATATGATCCACTCTGATGTTGGGAATAAAATGGTTGCTGCAAAGGTACTTTCTTGTAAATTCTCTCCATCAGTACTCTGTTTTTGTCTTGTTAAATTGCCTGCAATTCTTGTGTCAGTAGCAGAATTGTTCCTTTGCAGGTTAATGGAAACTTGGTTTCTCCATCCCATGTGCTTGCAAATGCTGAAGTAGTGGAAGTTGTAACATATGATGTCAGTCGATTTGTAAATTGGATCAGTCCATACCTTTTGTTACCCTTAATATTATTATCCATGATAGGATGCTGCACTGTCAATTCTAACTTAATCCTATGGTTTTATATGTTTCAGGGGCTCTCAAGTAAGTCAGCTTTTCAGAGGCACAAGCAGTGGCTGCAACATGCTAAAACACGTAGTGCCCGACACAAAATCATGAAAGTATGTTTATCTGTGTATCTAAACAATTGGTTTGAACACCCTCTTTCATTTATGTTTACATACACACAGCATAAAATTATTATAGTTGCCCCTATAATAGACTCCCTACTGCTGCAGTTTCTGAGGGAGCAAGCTGCATTATCAGAAACAGAAATTACTGCAGACTCAGTGAAGGAATTTACTTCTGAATCTGAAGAAGAGATAGAATTGGAAACCGTACCCAATCATCGGAAAGGGGCTGAACACACATGGGAGAAAATTTTGAGGAATATTATGCAAATGGCGTCGGCCAAGAAGCATAGTGATGAAATGTTTCAAATTGACAGGGGAGCCATTTGTATTCCTACAGTCAATGGAAAGCACAACAAGAATATGCAGCACGTGAATTTGAAAGCCAAGGGGGAGATGCTGTCTCAAGGAAATGGGGTTGCTAACATGATTTTTAAGAACATTCCTGAGTACAGAGAAGTTTTGCCGGGGTTAGAGAGCTGGCAAGCTTCCAAGATCATGTCTTGGCACGACCTTGAGGGGAACACTATCCAGTGGTTGTCCATAGTCTGTATGGACCGTGTGGGTAAGTTTCGATGTTTAAGCTGCTTAAAATTGTCGCAATATCTACTGGGATTGTTTGTGATCTGCAAACTCCATTTAAATTTGGATATGCAATGACTGAATGTTGACATGCAAAACAACTGGCAGGTATGATGGCGGATATCACATCAGCGCTAGCAACTGTTGGGATTACAATATGTTCTTGTGCTGTGAGTTTACAACGAAAACACTATCACCTTGTTTACCTTTTGTGTGTGTGTGAAAGAGAGATGAGTTCTTCAATGGATGTATTGATGATGTTCATAACATTTGGCAATTGGGCAGGCTGAAATTGATAGGAGGAAGGGGATGGGTGTCATGTTATTTCATATCGAAGCAAGTCTGGATGATTTGGTACGAGTACTTGAGGAATTTGGTATATATCCGATTTCAATCCAAAATACACATTGTAAGTGATTTGCTCGTGATGACAGGTGAAGGGATGCGCAAAGGTGGACGTAATCCTTGGTGTTTTGGGGTGGTCAACAGGTTGCAGCCGGCCGAGCTCATCAAAAGAGAGCCACAAGATATTAGAGTGTTAGTTAATTGGAGGTGCACACTGCAACTACTGTATTACATCACTCTCAGCTGCTCCTAGCAGCAGCTGGGATAAGTTTTGCCAATGGAAAAAGAGTTTTTCCTTGTTTTTTGTTTTTTTTGGGGATGCAGTTGTTTTGCAGTCATTACATACACAACATCATAACAGGTGCTGGGTTGGGGTTGGACTTTGGAGGTGAGAGTGTACATAGAAAGAAGAGTGGTAGAGAACTCTGCTTTAAACTAGAGTAGTGGTAAAGAATCAGTATATACTTACTTGTAAATGGAAATGGAGGGATGGATGAAGATTGATTTAATCTTTTTTATTCTTTTGTGGATGGATGGATGGCTGCAGCCTGGAAAATGACCTTTTTCCCTTTGAATGGAAAATTATAAATAAGATGATTGCATAGGAAGAATTATTAATTACATTGTCATGTGGATGTGGTGTGGTGTGGTGTTGGCACAAATACAATAATCTCTCTATCTATAAGTTAACTAACTTGTAAGCACACCTCTTTCATTATCGTTATCCTATCCATATCCATATCCATAATAGAGTGCAAAGAAGCGGGGAGTCGACTTTTAAAACATACATTTTCAATGCTGTTTTTGAAAATGCCAACTGGATTGCTTAGTTTTAGTATTATTATTATTATTATTGATATTATTTATTTTAATATTTGATATATTTCTATTTTAAATATTAATAGTTTTTATTAAAATTATAAAACATTAAATATACTTAATACATATAAATTAATTTAATTAAAATTATACGGTTTTGAAAACTCATTTAAAACCCCTTTTTATTATCTAAGAGCCATTCAAAATCCATAGTAAATTTAGGCTTTGTTTTCTTTTTCCACAAGTTTTCCTAAAAAAAAAAAATTAATACACTAGACATTTTATTCATTTTTATATTCCTTACACAGTTATCTATATATCACATAAAAAAATTTTATTTTCAACAATCTCACAAAACAAATAAAACTTTTAGTTTGGGTGTGTTTGTTTGAGAGTTTAGATTTTGAATTTGAAATTTGAATTAAATAGTTATATGATATAAATAAATATTTATGTAATATTTTAAATTTTTTTAAAAAAATTAATACTTCAAAAAAAAAATTATTTGATAATTTTTGGAAAAAAATTAATAAATAAAAAAATTCTTGTAAAATTTGATAAAAAAAAACATCATTGTATTAATTATAAATAAATAAAAATATTTATATTATTTTATATAAAATTTTATTCTTTACGAAATAATATTCATATAACATATATTTTATTTAGATATAGTATTTAAAATATTTAAATATATATTCTAAATTTCTTTTAATCTTATATCACAAGAAAACCAATTTTTATTTGTGCAAGCAAATGTAATAAAAATAAATTATAAAAGTAGATAAAGTGGAAAAAAAAAACCATAAAACATAATTATACACATAATTTATTAATAATAATAAAAAAAATATGGTATCATGTGTGCACACACACCATACAAAAAATAATCTACTACATTCACACATACATAAGCATATTGAATACAAACACTGTATAATAAACTCAAATACGTGATAATAATAATAATAATACATCACTTCCATGCACTAGTAAATTTATCAAAATCAACCTTGTAATGACATTTCAGTAAAATTAGGGGGAGAAATATTCCATTAAATGGAAAATAATTGAAATATAGACTTACATATTTATAATAAGGTCTCATATATGCACAAATACAAAAACTAATCACATATGAATACATAAACCAATAACATACAAATACCATAATATCATTCGTACAAATATACAAAATAATAATAATAATAAAGAAAAAAAATACTTTTGTACACCGTAGTAAATTATATTTAATCAATATTATAACGCATTATCATAAATAAAAAAAATAAAAAGATAAAAAAAAAGTTTACTAAAAAATGCAAATAGTCAACTAATATGTATGCTCAGACTACACAAAAACTAACAATTTGCATGTTGTATGCATACAATAAGCCAATCATATACAAAAAATGTATTATAATAAAATCAACTTAATACATTGAAGCAAGCAATAAAAAGAAAAGAAAAAATACATACATAAGCCTATATATGCTACATACACTGTATATAATAAAAGCAATTTCATTCCGGAAAAGACAAATAAAGAAGTTTTTTACTTGTACACGTCTTGGTATATTTATTAAAATCAATATTACAAAAGCATTATATGATAAAGAAAAGAAAGGTTCTATAAGATATCTCAAAAAAAAAAAGAAAAAAGAAAAGAAATATACACAAAAAATACAAAAACAAATATTTGCATGCAGGTATATATACTTAATCCCACTGCATGCATAGAGTATGTATTAAGTACAAATTATAATACAGTAACTTCAAGCACACAATAATAAATAACAAATTAAAAGGAAAGAAAGAATCAAAATTCACTTAAATGCATCCTAGTAAATTCAATAGAATAATTGCTATAAAAGAAATAAAGATAAATTTAAGATCAATTAAACAAACAAAAGAAAATTATGATCATACACACAGATAAAAATAAAAAACCAACCATCCCCATACATGCACGAAACATAGATACATATACGCAAGCCCACTGTATGCATAGACCATATCATAATAGATAACTTTATTTGTGTAAAGCACATGATTAAAAATAAGAACAAACCACTTCCTAACAATAATATGTATATATATATATATAGAACATGCAGGTAATGGGATATCATATTTGCTTTCCATATTTCAAATAACTATCATAAGGCAGAGAATCATGCTATTAACTTGTTCTAATGTGTATGTCCAACATACTTCTAGGTCTAAACAGAGAAAATTTGTTTTTTTTTAGAAAAGAAAGAAGGCCTAGGTTATAATTTTTAGATGCAATCAAATGCTTCATAACACAAGTAAAAATGTAAAATTATTTTGGAAGTTTAAGAGGTGGTAAAAAGCAAGATCATTGCTACAATAATAAAATGGTCCCAATGAATACATCACAAACATGAATATTGATTACCCAAGAATCTTATGATGTTAGTTGAGCCATTGGAAGAGCTTATCACCTGCAATGAAAATCAATAGTCACAATTGTAAGTTTTGACGGACACTTGCAGAGCATGTACACTAATCTATGTATAAATATTGAAAGAATAAAAAAGAAAATCACAAAAAAAAGTTCATGATCATAAACCAAATCAATAAAGAAAATATCAAGACAGATTGGCCAAAGCACCCATAATTCAGCATCGGCTGGCATGGGATCCCTTATACATTGGAGTAGCCTCACATCATTAATCATTATGGGATATACTCCAAAATAAGTATGAATGAATTCAAAACCTCAAACATCTTGGCGGGTAACGATGCAAGAGAAGACCCGATGGAAGCGACATAAACTATAAGATGGCTGAACACAGAATTGATCTACATAGACAATGGTTAACCAAGCTAAAACTTACAGCCTCAAAATCATATTTAAGATATCCAGATAAATCCAGAGTAGAATTATTGGGAGATAAGGAATCTTTTGTTCTTAGAACCCCTTAGACCCGACTATAACTGAAATTCAATTCCACTAATCTAGAAAGCAAAGCCTACTAAAAAAGCATTTGCCATATCAGTGGTAATATACATTTACAGCAAGAAGAACAAAATCTGTAAGAATCTGCTTATTTTGCTGAACAAGAACACAAATAAACAAACAAAAATAGTCGCAACACACCTACACCATACAAAAAATAAACATACAATCCAGATAGATGTAATGGCTTCTAGACATCAGTATAATCAGCAAAAAGTTAGCATACAGTCCCACGATAAGAATGGAGGCAGCAACAACAATAGTCTTAATAGACAAACATTTATCACCACTAATAATGTTACCTTCTTCTCTCTGCTAATTTGATAAATAGCAAGATAACTTGATTGTTTGATAAAAAAAATATATATATATAGGGCAAGAGAGCTTTCAAGAAACAATGAAAGTGATATAGAAAGTGACATGTACCTAAAACGGAATTAATCAACTCATAAATATAAACATTTTCCTCTGCTCATTTTCTTTGGACCCATTTTCTTTGGGGTCCAAAGAAAATGAGCAGAAGGCTATATATGTAATATTTTAGCACAAGTTGTAAGCTGGTTGCTTAACAAGAATTTTAGCTATCCAATGTACAAAAAAAATAAAATATTTTATTAATTCTTTTATTAAGTTTGATGAAAATTTAGAATATGTACACAATAAATTGAAATGAACTGAATGACAATCGATCTGCCATGGCTGCAAAATCTCCTGTTGCTTATCATATGACATGCCTTCCGGATTGCCCTGCCAAGATACGGGCCAATTTTCTCATTCAATGAATTGAATGACAATTGACAATGCACTATTTGGCCACGCCATGGCTGCAAGATCTCCTGTTGCATATCATATGACATGCCTTTGGACCGATTTTCTTATTGATTCTCAACTCAAATCTTTGTGTGCCTCGTCATTTAGCTTAGATTGTAATGCGAAAATAGCAATATAACTTGATTATTTATTGAAAAATAGGTCAAGAGAGCTTGAAAGTGTTATTTTGAAGTGAATCAAGTTGAAAAATATAGTTGCATGTAGATAAAACTTTCATGAAAACCAATCTAGTTTAGATTTATACAATATTTATTTTTAATCAACTACAAACATAGAACAATGAATGGTGAATATAAGAAGGACAAGCATTTTCAAGAGTCAAGACTTCCTCAGGGAGAAGCTTCTTACAAAGACGATCATTTCTTGACAGAGTCCCACTCAACCACGATACACAAAGTACATCCACATTTGATTTAAGGTGGCATTGTCCACGGAGAACTTTTTTGATGATCATACACAATAAATATTGAATTAAGCAGCAAATGCAACACTTCCTTGAAGGAAAAGCTACTTACATAGATTCTATCTTGACAGAATCCCCTCTCAACCACTATCTGAACAAGGTACTTCCTAATTATAATGCTCAAGCACTAGAAATATTAAATTGCCAAATCTTCATGCAAGCTGAATGTTTCAGAGACATAATTATCCTAGATCTGGCGCACAAGTACAAACATGGATAAAATAAATAAAGCTATTTACATATGCAAGTTAATTAATCTAGGAATTAGATGGCATTGATGCGAAAAGGGAGAATTTCTACTACCTCACAAACACAAACAAGGATAAAATAAGATACAAACCCGAGGTATTTTTGGAACTCATATATAAAAATATGCAGCTGTAGCTGTGAGAACAAACTAGAAAAAATAAACAATATAATCGACA